TTCACGAATGCCGTTGCTGGCCAGCTAACTCATATTCGATTGGTAGTTCTCGCCAAAAGCAGAAAACATGAATATTCATATATTCACTTAATTAGTGACGTAAGGGCTAAACGCTCGCTACGCGACTGAGGCCAGACTGATAAGTCAGTGACCGTTGGGAGCGACCAGCACTTTATCAGTATGGATTCCAGGCTACTCTTTAAGATGCTCTCATCTGGTCTTGAAGACAGTATACTGATCAAGATTCTACACGCTGGTCCAGAAGATGGTATACGAACATACATGATATAATTAAGTCCATGGGACTTGCTCCCCAAAAGTTTATTGCCAAGACATCATCATTTTGATTACAACAATCTTCAGAAGTTTATTGCTGAGGCATCATCAAAGTTTCAATCACGACAATCTTCATCATGCAGAGACAACATGAGTGTTGCAATCACAATGATCTTCATCATGAAACAGGGGATGTCTTGGCAATTAACTTTTTGGGAACAAGTGCAGCGTGCTGACTTTATTATATCATTTTGTTTGGTGCGATCTTCTGTTTGTCCTGCAGCTGCGCAAGAGTGAATATGCATGTTCTATCTTTGTCTACTGGCTTAAACCCCACAAAGAATGCCTTTCTACAACAGTCTTGTAATGAGACTAAAACATTTTCTTTCCTCGAAGTAAGCTTGTTTTCAGATCCTCTTTCCTGGACAAGTGAAATCATCTTACCCCACTGACCGATCTTCAACTGAGTAAAACCGTCTCACGTCACAGGCAATGTTTTCCTCATTCAGTAAAAATATAGTGAGAAATTAGACCTTAAAATTGAATCAGGTTAATTATTTGTTGGATAATGCCTAATGTTATGGTTTTCGGCGTATGGAGAAACTCAAGCCCTCGCTCCTGTTCTCACCTCCCCATCCTCCTCCCGGACCACATACTGCGCCACTTTGAAGGAGCTGAGGTACTCATTCATGTTCTGGATTTCTGTGTCCTCAGTGGCATCCTGACTGCGGTCCAGCAGCTTGGAGATGGCATTATCATCATAGTGGATCACGCTACCATCCTCGCCATCCTTCGTATCACCTAAAACAACGGAGGAGTGACTGGTTTGGTTGACAAGGTCATGTGACAACGATGCTTTATTATATAAAATTTAAAAATCAATCGCAAGAAATAACATTGTCAACATCTGCTCATGCTCACATTTTTGAACGAATGCAATCAAGATAGGCCAACATATTAATGCCATTACAGTATCAACACTGTTTCTTCAATTTCTCCTTCATTTAGTGTTTTAAGTGAGTTGTGAATGGTGAGACATTCCCACCACGCATAGAAAATAGATGGTGTGCATAGAGCTATATAGATAGTTTTGCCCTCAAATCAAATGGCTTCATTTCAAATGGGCCTCTAGCATTTGAAGAGTGAAAGCAATCCTGCCAAATCAACAATAAATGAAAAAATTATTGAGAATCTGTAAGAAGCGTATTATCAGGTGGGTACCATTAGCTCGGGCTGCTTCGACATCATCCTTGAACAGCTCCTCAGTGCCGAATTTGAGGATGTCATCGAGCTCTTGCTTGGACATGGAGCCCGTCTTTGAGCCCAGACCAGGCCGAACCACCAGGTGGGTCAGCATCATCTTGCGCTTAGCGACCTGGGTGATCCGCTCCTCCACCGAGGCACGGGTAACAAAGCGATATATCATCACCTTCTTATTCTGACCAATACGGTGGGCCCGGCTAAACGCCTGAGAGGAAGAGAGTGAGGGAGAGAGATGGAGAGAGATTAATAAAATGAGTGGAATCAATCATTTCCAGGACCAAAAGAAAATAAACAGTAAATTAAAAAAATACAATTTTAGAAAAACAGTATTGTGAAATCTCAATTTCTCAATTATTTTGGTACATTTACATATGTAGTATGTAGTAGTGTTTCCCAGAAGCTAATTTGTTAACTATGAACCACAGCTCTGGTTCAAACTGTTTGAGAGGTAAGCAAGTTAGCGATTAAGCTTCTTGGAAATGTAACCCAGTTTATTTTGTTAGATCACTGCGTGTGCATCCACATGCAAAATGGATCGTAATTATTTGGACTGCTTTCATGTGCTATCGACTCCTGCAGGGTTTGCCTACATCTAAGTGCAGACAGTTATCATTTGGAGGTACCTGCATCCCAATTGAGTGGACAGCACAGGAGTCAGATTCAGTTACATAGCACATCTCCAAAAAATTATTGACAAAGCACCCCCACAAGAGCAAGCCTAAAGGTTGTCTTCTACTTCTGTGTAGTTTGCATTAAAATGGGTTTACCTAGAGGTTGTGTGGGATGTGCACAGTATGGGACGGTCCCAAACCACGTCCGTGTAGATGTAGTGTACCTCCTCAAAAATTTAAAAGCGAGTACTGAGTGAACTGTGGTGGCAAACTGCACAGTGATTAAGTGTCTGGTGATTTCAGTCACTCCTGTAATTAACTTCAAACAACAAATGTTGAGCAATTTATTCGCAGGCAAACCAAAGAGGTTTGATGCCACTGCAATACTTAATCAATGCATAATAAATATTTTTAAATGACAAATTACATCCAAAATCTGATTATGCGGCTGGCGTGACTTGTGCGGCATGTTTGCACCCGTTTGCAACTTCCCCACAAATTATGCAGAAAAAGTTAACTTTGCACGATTATAAAACTACTTTATGGCAACAGTAGCAAGGAAAATCTCCCAGGTAGGATTTGAAACGCACATTCAAAAAGGGAAAGGAGATACCTGGATGTCATTGTGTGGGTTCCAGTCGGAGTCGTAAATGATGACTGTGTCAGCGGTTGCCAGGTTGATACCAAGACCCCCGGCACGCGTGGACAGCAGGAAACAGAACTGTTGGGCTCCGGGAGCTGGGGACAAAACAGCAGGAGGGGGGTTACAGCACTGCCCTCTGATGGCGATCAGAGGAACACGCTCACATCATGAATGAGCGTCAGTCCCTCCAGGGAACAGTGAAATAGCGCAGGGAGGCCATCAGAGTAAAAGCTTTATCGACATCCTCCGCCTCCGCGCCGCGGTCGCGCTGCAGTAGTCGCCTCACCGTTGAAGCGGTCAATGGCTTCCTGCCGCAGGCCCCCGGTGATTCCCCCATCAATGCGCTCGTATTTATAGCCCTCGTACTCCAGGAAGTCCTCCAACAAATCAAGCATCTTGGTCATCTGTGAATGAGAGAAGAGCACGGCATCGAGAGTGTCTCATTAGTGCCAGCATGCGTCTATACTTAATACTCACTGTGCATTACGTACTCATGTGCAGTGGTTGGCACCTCACCCATTAAAGCGCATGCATTTATTATATACAAAAAACTACATTTCCCAGAAACCCCACGTGATAACAATGTACAGATATGTATGCATACGATTAAAAATCCGATCAATAATTTCTCTTCTCAAAACACTGATAAGCGAAGAACTGAGATGGGCAGAAACAGAGACAGCCACATACTCAGCCACATACTCAAACACAGACATTGGGAGACGGACCCTGACCTGGGAGAAAATGAGAACTCTGTGTCCACCATCTTTTAGCTTCTTCAGCATCTTCTGCAGGAGGGTCAGTTTGCCGGAGGACTTCACCAGCAGGTTCCCATCATATGAGCCATTGGGCAACACTGGGGCCTCCTGTGAGAGTAGATAGGAGACTATTACATATACGGTACAAGCACTTACAATACACCAATGCGCAGGCATGCACACAGGCAAACACACGTGCACAGGTACCAATGCTAACACATACACGCAAATACTGATGCGCACAGACATGCATGTGCTCATCCGTGCTCATCCACACTCATGCATGCATACACGCACAGACAGGGCTGGACTGGGACAAAAAAAAGGCCCTGGCATTTTCGGCCATGGCGGCCCAACCTGATCTGGACGTGACGGCCTGTCATATGCGCACACTTTGCTGTTACCAAAAGTTAAAATTAAGCTCAGTCGTAGCCTACATGCCCTGGAACTACACACAGAAAGGCCCCAGGCCGGAATCGAACCCACAACCTTCTTGCTGTGTGGTGGCAGTGCTAATCACTGCACCACCATGACAAAGAAGAAGTTATATTTATTATTATTATTATTATTGTTATTATTATTATTATTATTATTATTATTATTATTATTGTTATTGTTATTATTATTAATATATTCACATGAATTAATGTGAAAAAGGAATGTGACTTTGGGGCCATTTATAATTAATCAATAAGACCATTGCACTATTTGGATTGATTCATACATAACCTTTTTAAATACGCAGTGTCTAGAGATACGGCAGTTTTATGGGTACAACAGTCGATTTGAAGGGATTAGGAAAAGGATTAGGGATTAGGGATTATGGTTAGGGTTAGGTTTAGGGTTGGGGGTCAGGGTTAGGGTTAGGGTCAGGGTTAGGTTAGGGCAGGGTTTGAAATTGGGACTGCCGTACCTCTCTACATTGAAATGCATTGGAAAACTGCCGTACCCATAGCAACTGCCTTTTAAATAACGTTACATATCTTACAGACTCAACAGGGCATAGAATAGCTCACTAGCTTCAGAACCGCAGTACTCGCTGGTTGCAAGTTTACTGGCAGGTGATTCTGAACGTCAAGACAGGGTTTTAAACAGGAAAATTTGAAAGTCTTCCTTGCTGTATTCCAGGACAAATTTTATTTGCCACCGTAAAACAACGAATCAATATGCATCAAATAGTGGGTTATCCCCAGATAATAATTGGACGTTGTCACAACGTTGTGAGCACGTTGTGTTTTTGGTGCTGAGCACGTTGTATCCTGATGTGCTGAGCACGTAGAAGTGTAGACTCCAGATAACGTTGTGACAACATGATAGCATAAAGAAGGGTAAGAGTACAACACACTGTATACTACCTCTTATGTCCTCTTTTTTTTGGTGTTATGTTTTTTTTTTCTACTGATGAAGCTGTGAACAAAGGTTTACATGTTAAGTTAGACATTACATTAGCATCCGCTGCGGGATTCGAACCCGGGAACCTGTGGACAAAGTAATTCCAAGCACACCACACACCACAGTCTTAACCACTAGACCAAGTGAGTTTGTTTCCCTTCTTATTTATGTATTGTTGTTAACGAGGAGACGTCATGTGACTATCCATTTTGATGTATTTTATGCAGGTCAGCCGGCTGATCCGTTGACACTGGTACGGGTAGGATAATTTGTGCCAAACAAACCATTGTTTTAGGCCGAGTTGGACAGCCGTATATACACTTGCGTGCGTTTTTTTTTAAATGGAAATAAAAGGCATGATGAAATTGGTGATGATACGTGCACAGAATTAGTTCCAAGACCTGCGAAGGCAGGCTCTCGAACGGGCTTTGTATGGCGCCGCTGACGTCCGACTGAGCACAGTATTTGCCCTGGCACCTGGTTCCCCGGCAGCAGGATGTTGATGGAAAAAAAAAGTCCCCGGTAACTCACCTACTGCTGGGCGGCGCAGATGAAGACAAATAAAGCGGCGATAAAGGAATCCAGCCTCGACGACGGAGTCACAACAAGCAAAGGGACACCGTCGTCGACTGGTTCACTTATTCCTAGCTAACGCACAACGTGCTCACAACGTTGTGACAACGTCCAATTATTACCTGGGAATGTACTCTGACTGTTGCGAAAACATGCTCAGGAACATCTACATAACGTGGTAACAAGGTACTCTAGATGTTGTGAGGACGTGCTCTGCACGTTTTCACAACGTCCCAACACGACGTTGTCACAACGTTATCTGGAGTCTACACTTCTACATACTCAGCACGTCAGGATACAACGTGCTCAGCACCAAAAACACCCATGCTCACAACGTTGTGACAACGTCCAATTATTACCTGGGGTCATCAGTGTCATGGCTGCCGCCTTTATATGCTATTTGCATGTATAGCCGCACTAGAAATTAAAGTGTAAATTCTCTTTACTGGATGTGCGTTCAACGTTTTTACGCACCCGAATATTTCACTTGGTATCTAAACATTAAGGTAAGCAGAAAAAGTTGTGATCTTATTCAATTTTGCAGGAGGATGTGCGTGGTACTCTTACAAAAAGAAAATATGCCCAGAAAGCACATATTCAAAAATTCACAAAAGACATATTTTATTTCCTTTATACCATTTTATTTCACATATATGTGAAAACAATATTCTCAGAAGCTTGAGATATGAAGTTGTACAGAAACATCAGCACAATAAACGACGTTGTGAAAACGTGTTGACAACATGCAGACAAGGTCAGTCCACAACGTTGTGAGGAGGATGTACCACAACGTTGCAGTTTAGCGTGCACACAACGTTGTGACAAAGTTGTAAAACGACGTTATGAACACAACGTGCTGACAACGTGCAGACAACGTCAGTCTACAACGTTGTGAGGAGGTTGTACCACAACGTTGCAGTTTAGCGTGTACACAACGTTGTGACAAAGTTCTAAAACGACGTTATGAACACAACATGCTGACAACGTGCAGACAACGTCGGTCCACAATGTTGTGAGGAGGATGTACCACAACGTTGCAGTTCAGTGTGCACACAACGTTGTGACAACGTCAGATACAACCAAACCTTCTCACTACGTGCTCACAACATTGTGCGCACGTTGTGCGTTAGCTGGGATCAGCAGCTGGTCCATCAGTGGGGACCTTTTGTAAGCTCAAGCAAATTTTAACCGAATACATACTTGCGATAGCCTATTAATTTAAAAGTCAGTCTTACCGCTTTCCGTGTCCCCCTCCAAATGAAAACTGCTTGCTACATTAGGATCATCGTGGTCAAACAGCTGCTCAATTTTTTTAGCGTTTGAAAGCCTGAGGCTCCAATGTCTGTTTACTTTATTCTCGAAGGTTTTCTGCCTCTCCACTGCTTTCTGACATTTTTGTCTGAGCTCGTAGTCGAAACGCGTTTTTAGACTGTTAAAGCAACTGGGGACAAGCAAAGCCATTGGTCAAACTAATTTCCCAGCAAGCCTGCCTTCTTAAACTTTTAGGACAAAAGCAACAACATTAAATAAACTGTACATGGCTTAAGCCTATGAATCGTTTTTTTTTTTATCTGCAAGAATACAGTTTTTCGGTAATTCCTATATCATAAAACAAATATGTAAATAAATACTGAAAAATGGCCAAGATGCAAGATAACCGGAATAGTGAAGTAGAAGAATAAAAAGTGGTATATAAAGCATGTATCACCGGAAAAGTCAAATGTGGACAGTCTCAGGGCAAGCTCTCTATATAACGTAGTGTAAGAGGAGATATATAATACTTTGGTATAGATCTCTCTGTATGAAATTCCACTTAAAGCTAACTGAAGTCATTCTGCCGTTTGCTCCCCTCAACGTGGGCCACTGGCTTCCTCCGAACTGCGCACGATTGCTTTTTTTTTCCCTGAGGTGGGAGGGCTCAGAGATTTCATTGGGCCAGCCCTGTGTCGGTGTGTAGAAAACAAACTAATGGGCCGCTTTCCATGTTTTAAAGGCCGGCGCGGTCGTTCGAAATTATTGATGTTATTACAATTTTATAAACTATGATTGCGTCGGTCCACCGGGCATTGCCCGGTACGCCAGATTACCAATCAAGCCTTGCGCACAGATGCATACACCCCCGCACACAAACAAACTCATACATAGAGATGCACAGACACACATTCACAAACATACAAACACACACAGAATTAAATGTAAACACAAATGCAGTAATGCAGTTGCGTGCACACATACATGCACGCATGCATAAGCACACACGCACACACGGGCCCACACATACCCTCATTCTGGATAAAGTGTGTGAAGCAGTGATGCAGTATGGAGATGACAGCGGTAGTGTGGGCAGTGATGAGCAGTACAGAGATGACAGCTTGAGTGTGGGCAGTGATCAGCAGTAAAGAAATAACAGCGCAAGTGTGGGCACTGATCGGCAGTAAAGAGATGACAGCATGAGTGTGGGCAGTGATCTTTAGTAAGGAGATGACAGCATGAGTATGGGCAGTGATAAGCAGTATGGAGACGACAGCATGAGTGTGGGCAGTGATCAGCAGTATGGGGACGACAGCATGAGTATGGGCAGTGATCAACAGTACGGAGATGACAGCGTATGTGTGGGTAGTGAAGTGTGAATGCAGCACTTAGATCAATGCGTGAGCATGTGCAGTGATCAGCAGTAAAGAGATGTCTGCTTGAGTGCAGGCAGTGACCAGCAGTAAGGAGAGGATTGTGTGAGCGTGGGCACTGATCAGCAGTGAGGAGATGACAGTGTGAGTGAGAGCAGTCATCATCAGCATGGAGATGACAGCTTGAGTGTGGGCAGTGATCACCAGTACGGAGAGGACATTGTGACTGTATGCAGTGATCAGCAGTAAGAGGATGAAAGCATGAGTATGGGCAGTGATCACCAGTAAGGAGATAACAGTGTGAGTGTGGGCAGTGATCAGCAGTAAAGAGATGATAGTGTGAGTGTGGGCAGTGATCAGCAGTAAGGAGATGACAGTCTGAGTGTGGGCAGTGATCAGCAGTAAGGAGATGACAGTGTGAGTGTGGGCAGTGATCAGCAGTAAAGAGATGACAGTGTGAGTGTGGGCAGTGATCAGCAGTAAGGAGATGACAGTGTGAGTGTGGGCAGTGATCAGCAGTAAGGAGATGACAGTGTGAGTGTGGGCAGTGATCAGCAGTAAGGAGATGACAGTGTGAGTGTGGGCAGTGATCATCAGTAAGGAGATGACAGTGTGAGTGTGGGCAGTGATCAGCAGTAAGGAGATGACAGTGTGAGTGTGGGCAGTGATCAGCAGTAAGGAGATGACAGTGTGAGTGTGGGCTGTAATCAGCAGTAAGGAGATCACAGTGTGAGTGTGTAGTGATTGGCAGCGAGGAGATGACAGCGTGTGAGTGGGCAGTGATCAGCAGCAGGGATATGACAGTGTGAGTGTGTGCATTGATCATTACCACAGCTGCCACAGGGAACAGGTAGGGGTGGTTACAGCACTTCTTCAGGTCCATCATGATGTTGAGCAGAGACACCTGGTTCCCCCCACCCTTAGAGTTCAGCGCCTCAAAGTTCCGCGTCAGGATGAACTTGTAGTACTTCCTGAGGGACCCCCAGCAGAGAGAGACGGTATGTGATGCAGCATGAGACTAGACTTCAAACCACATTCACTTAGCTAACTATGCCTAAGCACCCCATGGAGCTTCTAATATGCAAGAACCGAGCCTCCCCGAAGGTAGAGTTCCCTGGCGTTTCATGAATAATTCACGTTAAGATACAAGACTAACATTTTCTCAGAAAAACCCAAGAAAAAGCATGATAAATGAAGATTTCAGCTGTAGTTTTCTGATCTAGGATCAGTTTTACCTATCACCGCATAATAAGGGTGTTATTTGCGTACATACTGAAGAAATAAAAAAAAAGCAAAAGTATTTTATTCGCATATTGAGACTTTAAATTTTCTCTTTTTCTTCTTTATTGAACTTTCACTACAAAAGAAAATAGCCAGTAGGGTGAGATAGTTTTGAGTCAGCTGAAAATTTGCCAAAAGGGTGAAATTTTTATTTTCAAGCAAACAGTAACTTAGGACACGCTTTATTTTCTGCTTAAGCGGTGAAAAGTAAGATTTCGAGTCACATTATGAGCCTAACTTTCATTGCAGTGCAGGGGAATCTAGAGGCGAGATCAGTACAATGCATGGACAGGCCTGACATTTCCCAACAATACAATGTTAGAGTACATCACATTCACTTTGCAAAAGCTCTAATTCACAGACAAGCAGATGCAGAACTGAAAATGTATCATCACCAAGAGGCCATCGACGAGCATAATGTGAACCTATCATGACAGATAACATTTTTGCTACAGGAAGCACCGCCAGAAAACTAATACTAAAATCTATAACAATTATGCATTATGTGGCAGCTGAGGGTCGACAGGGAACCTTGGAGGTTCAAACCCCACAGTGAAATCCCCTATTCAATCCACAATAAGATTAGCGGCCCCTTTGTCAAATTAACTGTGACTGCCACTTGACATGAACACAATGGCTAAATAAAAGTAATATAATGGGTGTTATGATAT